TTTACAACCATTAAATCTTACATATACAAGCAAATTTTTTAAAATGCATATGGGCTACTCTAGAATTCGAAGACGTGTTCGTTAAACCACCAAAAGATCTGTAAATGAATACTGCGCTATCGAGTCAAATAAGCGTTATTTCCTACTTAACTTTTTATTCTGTTGTTTCCTTTAAGTTCGTTTTTTCTTAACCCTAGTCCTTTTTCTAGCTGTACCTCTAACGTGTGGAGGGTGAATTAAAACCCGGCACTTAGGCCTAACTATGCCGATTGTGCATCCTCCTAAGTAGATTGGCATCTCCTAGCTCGTGAGCCAGCCTACAGATTTAATGTAGTTGATAACGTCGCCAACAGATGCTTCTCTTTTTTTTTTTTTTTTTTCTCTCCTGGGCTCGTCTGACTATGTGTCTCCGAATAACACTGAAGCCTATTTATTGTGTTTTACCCCATGTTAGTTCATAGCACCCACTCTATCACCTTTGTACCTTGTACAAGTTTGTACAGATCCTTGGGTGAGTGGGTTCTATACGTTGTTGGATCAACCTGGGGTTGTCCAAAAAGAGCCTGTCTTTTGCGATCTAGAGCTTCGCATTCGCACAGTATGTGTTTGGCCGTTTCTGGTTTCTTGTGACATAGTCGGCACATGAGTTCCCCATTGTACATGCCAATTTTGTTCAAGTGTCCCTTTACTGGGGCGTGCACAGTCATGAACCCTGTTATCACTTTCAACTGGTTCCTATTCATTAGGAGTAGTTCTCCAATTCTTTTGGGACATGGTCTGCCTATGAAGGCTTTTCCATGTGCCTGTTTTGGTAGTTGATATGTTGTTCCCGAATCCAGTCATTTATAAAACCCCGGACTGTACTTTTTGGTACTCCTGGGTTTGTGTCTGCTTAAAATTTTGTAATTCTAATAAAAATCATTTTTGGGCTAAAATATGCGCAAATATATTTAGTTGAAATTCTGAAATTTTGGGTTCTGTATGTTGAACCGTTTAAGCACTATAGGTTTGGTTCCATCTTTAACAGCTACCCTGTATATGGGGAATAACAATACAATATTATGACAACCATATTGGACCTAATGGTTATAGTGACGACGCAGTTCGGGAAACTTGGCGAAAAGTATTTTCAATTGCAACTCCAGAAGTGTGGCGGAACTGTATATCCAAGTGCGAGAAACTAATAGAAGATTGGTGGACTCGTGAAAATAAAATAAACTAAATAAAGTCCAATCATAATTGATGATGATGATGATGATGATGACGATTATGATATTTTGGATGATAATGACTGATTTTCATTTTTGTTGGCAAGTTCAATTTTTTTATTTTTCATTTGAAATTCTCTACATGGAACAAATTTTTATGTTAGAAAATATTTTATTTGACCTAAATAACCCTCTTATTATACATAGACCATATTTTTCGCGTGAAGTGTAATATAAAATTATTATTAGGTTTATAATAGCCACATTAGACTCCATTAATGAAGAAGTTTAATTCTGCTCTCAATTATACAAAAGATTCTGCATTATTATTTAATTAAAAAGTTGTACATTATTTTTCATTTCATTTAACCAGTTGATATTTCCTCAAATAACAGGTCAAACTTTCGGGTACTTACCTGGAAATACTCATAAAAATTTTTAATCCGAAACTCGCGTAAGTATTGCGCACTGATTGTACGTGTTCTTTCATAATGGGATCAAATTCAGATAGCAGCTCAACTATTTTTAATAAGTTGCCGTTGTTATGCCCGAGCAGCTTGTCATTTGTACCTTGGAAAGCCAGATAATTTTGCTACGATTCTTAAAAGCACGTCCAATAAGTTTTACACAAGCGTGTGTGTGAAAACTACAGAGAGTTATCATTAGGGCTAGCAAGAAACGAATAATATTAGAGTTGCCAGTATATACGGCCCGACCAACGTTACAACACGGTCGGGCCATAGAAAAATAAAAAGGGTCGGGCTGTATAAACTGGCAACGCGCATTGGAAAACGTTTAGAAAACGGCTGACACTGTATATGATTCTAATAATGTTAGCAAATGGAAACAAAATCGTATCCTCATATAGCAACTAGTTTCGAATGGTTTGTTAGTGTCTTGTTTACATTGATATATAATAAAATTTTATTTTGTAAAATAAAAAATCTATATCTGTTTGTAAGACTATAAAACCAACGCTCTTGTCTAAGTACCTAAGTAGCATATATATATCTAAAGTTAGGACCTATAAAAATATACGATGTACTATAAAAATGTATGAAAAACATTTTTCGTGTTTTGCTAGACATTGATTTATTTCTAAAATATTAAACACAACCTTCTCCTATTCATCATTGAAAGTTTACACAAAAATATATTAATGTACCCAATATATGCTGTCAGTTGTGCGATTTGGGATAAATTACAAACATATCTTGTGTCACTATTTGATCATTGAAATTGTATTATAATTTATTCTAATTTTGACATATAAAGTAACATTTTTTGTAATCGCAGCTGGTGTCAAAATGATCTACTTTACGCAACCAGTTTCATAATATTGAACATTATGAAACTGGTTACGAAATGGCTATTTATAAAACCAGTTGTGGAATGCCTTATTTTATGTAACGAGTGAAATTTTCGGGACGAGCAGAGCGAGGTCTCAAATATTCAAATATAATCCATTATTCATTATCTCACGTATTGTTTATACATCGTTTCTCGCAACCCCTTAAATATACCAACCCTTCCCACTGACAGTTATTTTGTTTGGAATGCCTAATTTTGATGTTTACCAAGGATTTAAGAAGTTGTCGTATATATTGCTACAAGAAGAGAAACATTAAAAAAATCAAGACACGTAAGAGATGAAGTTAAAGATACCTATAAAAACGACACGTGGTCTATATCATGGACTAAATAACAGTATAACAACCTTTTAATCATGTATACGGATATGTGCCGTGAAAAGCCATTTCCATTCCATCCAGTTTCATCCTATCGAAAAATTGTCTTGTTTATTCATCCCAAAGATTTTACGATTTCCAAAAATAAATATCGAATTATATAATGACAAAAATAACACCTGCTTCCTGGTTTTATATAATAACGATGTATCAAGTCAGATTGTTTTTGATAAATTAACTACTATATAAAAATGTATATTTGACATGAAATATTTGCCATAAATAAATATTATAATAGCAGTTTATATTACAAGGACGAAAAATTGAGATTTTCGGGCGACTACGAGCAGTTTGCCATGCAATATGTGTAGTCTAGAAGAAAAAAACACTTTTCGTACGTGTTTCATGCATTTTTTTTTGTTCGAATGTGCTTATAGATAAAAAAATATATAAAATGTAATCCAAAAGGATTTTACTTCCAATTTTTCTTATAACTGAGATGGCTGTGACAAAGACAGAGATGCGAGACATGTTCATGATAACCACATATAGTTAAATTTAAACTGACATTTTAACAGAAGAAGAACCTAATCTCCGACATGCGTAAATTTACCCAAGGCCTACTTTATTTACATTTTTTGTGGATCACCTCATAGTATATTGTTTAACTTACAAGGAATGGAACATATGATTTTATTGAAATAATTAGAGAATGACTACCTTGTCTTATACGAGTAATACCTTGTGTCATAATAATAATAATAATAATAATATAATAATAATACTCTCCCTAATTCCTATTCAATTTTAGGGGTTGAGGGGAGGGGTGTGTAGTTTTTACCATCTCTTTCGATCCTCTATGCATCCATGTACTCATTATTACGATTAGTCCCAATAAAAACCTAGCTCAAGTTCGCTTTAGATCAAGGGCAGCTCCAAGACGAAATTTCGGGGGGGTGGGGGGGGGGGGGGGGGGGGGGCATTCCCGTTTTAGCATATTTTTTTGAATAAAAGGCCCATAAATAGGAATAATTTTTTTTCATCTCCGGGGGGAGGGGGGGGGTGGCATGGCAATTCAAACAAAACTGACCCAATATTACTATAGTCCCTCAGATAGTGACAGGTTTAGGTGCCCCATTTTCGCCGGCAAGCCTCGAAGAGGGTTGAAAAGTACATCGATTTTAAGTAGAATGAAAGGACATTTTGGAGTGGCTGCTGGGGATAACACATGGAAAATTCGATTTTCTCTAACAAAAACGAAAGGTTATTTGTTACCCATTTTTCTACAAGTTTGCACTATAAGATTAACTAATAGGCTTCGGAAAAGCAAAAGCTTTAATGTTGCAAGTGGCTAAAGGGTTGAAATAAGGGCGTAATCTTCTAAGGAAAAAAATCGAGATTTTGCCCAATTTTTCCACACAAGCCCATCGAATGTCCAAAAAACATATTTTCTTGAATGACCCGAATGTGGGGTTGGAAAATTTTATGATAAGGAAAATCGAATTTTCCATGTGTTATCCCCAAGAGCTACTCGTAAATTTTCTTTTATTTTACTCAATATCGATGTACTTTTTAACCCTCTTCGAGGCTTGTATGCGAAAATGGGGCACCTAAATCGGTCACTATCTGACGGTCTACTAGCTGAGGGTTTTACATTTTACTGTGCAGGTTCCTATCAAATAAAAGATGGACTAAATAGTATTAAAGCCATGTGGCAAAAAATAATTCGAGCGACCGTTTCCCTAAAGAAAAAAACTACTACTTTGGCTAAAACAACATCAGCAGATATATTATTTTTAACCCTTTTGTTTTTTTTTTGTTTACGTCTTGGTCACATTTGAGTTTAGAATGATTTTCCTTTTTTTCCTATAAAACAATAATTAAACTTTTTAAATGAAATAATTTGGCAATACTTCGCTTAATAGTTACCAGATTCTTGACTCTATGGGTCATGCATGTAAAAAGAACTTTCAAAATCACATATTTAGCATTTCAAGTTTAAGGTTGTTGCAAATGTGCCAAAATGATAATGAACTTTGTTGAGATAACACTCATGCGTCAAGAACATATATTAAAATTTATGTTTTTCTTTTCTTTTTTTCAGAAGAATCAAAATGATAAAAGTTGATGAAGATGATCCTGTGGGCGGTAAGTTTAATTACTTATACCCATATTATCACGATATATCTGTCACCATAGTGTGGGATTTATTATGGGGGTTTAATATTACAAATTGGACTAGTTGTGCCCCATGATTAAATAACAAAATATATAATTTCGGGTCTCGATAATGTAAGCAATCTTTGATACTTCAAACTTGGATACGTAGGCAATGAATAGTGACATTTCACATTTGACATTAAGTTTAACAACAAAAAAAAAAAAATAAAAAAGCTGTAAATTGCATTTTATTTTTGAAATAATTGAACACCGTTATTGAAAACTACCCAAAAATGTTGAGGGTAAAATTTTGATGTACTCATTAGAGTAAAACGAGTAAAAACTTTTTTTTTTTTGTATTTCCCGTGGGTAATGTCAAAAATCAGATCGGCAACACTGCACATGTTCTTTATTATTATTACTATTGAAAAAAAACCTTGTAGGACAATAAATTACAACAATTTTCTGAAAGTACCTACAAAAGAATGATTTTTTTTTAACCAAACACAATTTTATATATAAAGTCAAAATTAGAAAAAATCTTATATGTAACACGTTACGAAATGCTGTTTAGTGTAACTCGTTTATTTTGCGAAACCTCGTCTGCTCGTCCCGCAAACATTTAGTCGTTACACAAAATAAGGCATTTCGTAACTGGTTACATAAATAGCTATTGTCTAACGGTTTTAAATTTAATTTGAATTATACACTGCTGTATGTATCTGTTTCTGTAACGTGTGGAGGGTGGGTTACCTCCACAGCACTTAAGCCTCATTAGGCCCATTGTGCATCCTCCTAAGATGATAGGCACCTCCTAGCTCGTGAGCTTGCATACAGATTTACTGTAGCTGACTACGTCGCCAAAATGTGCTTCTCTTATATCAGTCGGTGTTAGCCGATACTCGCCGAACACAAATCTTCTAATAAATGAGAGCGTCGAGCAGTCGTAAAGGATATGCTCGATGGTTTCATCTTCTTGATCGCACCCTCTACAGAGTGCGGATTCTGACAGCCCCATGATATAGAGATGCTTCCGTACTTGGCAATAACTAGTCAAAAAGCCTGTGACTAAGCGCAGATTCTGTCTAGTCATAGTCAATTATTTGTTTGCTGCAGTGTTGTCAGGATAACTTAGAAGCTCCCTGGCAACTCTGCAGTTTCTTGTTTCATCCCATCTTTCCATGAATTTTACAAGGGAATGTTCTTTAATTAGGTCTGTCACTACCGATTTTGTCATGCCAATAGAAGGGCCAAGTCCAAAAAGTATTTGGTTGGCTGCTTTCTTGGCTAGTGAATCAGAAAGACGGTTACCTTTCGATGTAGCGTGACCTTCGATCCATCTTATTAAGGTGACCACATTGTTGATGGATACTTCGGCCAAAGCTTCACGACATTATAGTACTAACCCTGAGTAAATTCGTGGTCTGCTCAGGGGTAGTAGTGCTTGTCTGCTATCTGTATAGAAGAGCATGTTCCTTCCAGTGATATTGTTTCTGGTTATTTCTTTTGCTGCTATGAGAATCCCCGTTAGCTCTGTTTGAAGTACACTGGCAATATTGTTCACAGCCCATTTTATGTTAAGGTTTAAGAATCTGGAGTATATTCCACATCCTGAGACTTGTTTGTTTTAAAACCGTCGGTGTAGATATGAATCGTACCTGCCACTTCTGGCTCTTCTATTTGTTCTATTATAACTTTATATGGCTTATGGAAGATACATCTCGGTGATATGGAATCCATGTTCGCTTGAAGCGGTGGGAGCGTATCGAGCGCCTCCTGCCAAAAGCGACGTCTCGCCTCACCAGATCCTACATCAGGTTCAATTCCAACCGTGCAGAGGCATGTCATTGTCATTTTCATCCTTTTCCTTGTGAAAAGGACCATTTCTGTCTTCTTAGGATTGATAGACAGTGAATGGTCCTTGCACCACTGTTCTATAATTTTTAGAGCTACTTGCATTCTTTCGCAGAGTATGTTCTCAAAATTCCCTGTTTGCAGAATGACCAGGTCATATGCATATGCTATTGTGTAGTGACTGTCATTATTGAGGCGGCTGATGAGGGTGTCGAGGACCATATTCCACAGTAGAGGTGATAGCGTCCCTCCCTGTGAACATCCCCTCGCAACCAAGCCTCTTATATTCACATCTTCTATACTTATGTTTACTGCTCGCTTAAGGAGCATGTTAGGTCTTCACCCACTAACCATTTATGAAATATTCCTGTTGGTTAGTGAGTGTATTATCTTTGGGAAGGTGGTTTTATCAAAAGCACCTTCTATGTCTATGAAACCACCCAAGGCGGACTCCTTATTGTCCAGGTATCTTTCTATCCGGACAGCAACTAGATGAAGGGCTGAATCAGTAGATCTTCCTGGAGTGTATGCATGTTGGTTTGGGTGTAGAGGTGTTGTAATCACCGCATTCCTCATGTACCTTTCGCATAGTATTTCCAATGTCTTCATGGAAAACGATGTCAGACTAATTGGTCGGTATGTTTTTGGGACAGTATAATCCATCCTTCCAGGTTTGGGTATAAATACCACTTTTACTTCTCTTCATTTTTTGGGGATATATCTCAGAGCCAACGAGGATATGAATATACCCACCAGGTGCGGCGTGAGTTCTTCCAGACCCCACTGAAGTAGGGTTGGATAGATACCGTCAGGTCCTGACGATTTAAATGGAGAGAAGCTGGATATTGCCCATCTAATTTTTGTATCGTCTACAATGTGTTTGGCAGTTTGTCAGTCATAGACAGATGGATTGTATTCTTTATCTGCCCAGTCGGCCACGTTTGTGATGACCCAGTGATGACCGTGTGTTGACAGCAGAAGTTTGATGCTATCTTTAAGGTTGGTAGTTTTAGTGCCATCCTCTTTGATTAGCGCACCAATGATTCGGTGTGGATCTTTTGAGAGAGCTTTTTGAAGCCTTGCTGCCTGCGGTAAATCTTCGATTTCTTCGCAGTAGGATCCCCATGCATCTCTCTGTTTTTGTCTGACGATTTTTTTGTATTCTCTGAGGTGAGATGTGTAACTATCCCAGTCCTCTTTGAATTTTGTGGTTCTTGTCTATTAAAGAATTTCCTAGCTATCTTCCTGAGGTGATCGTGACACCACCATGCGATAACAGGATTTCTTATGTTTATTGTGTTTTGGGTAGTGTTCGAGTACTTCTCCAAAGCATTGTTATTGTTTGGTGTTTCGACCTTCATCTCTCTCAGCGCCTCTTGGAGAATGTGGGCATAGATTGGCCTGTCCGTCTTCCTAGGGTTCCGAGATAGCGTGGAGGGTGTCGAGGTGAATATTAACCGGTGGTTAAGCGGTGGTCTGACATCGAAATGTTATCAGACACTTACCAGTTTAGAATTGATTTATAGATATCAGTTATGGATAAAGTGATATCTATTAGTGTTTGACTGCGAGAGTTTAAAAATGTAGGTGTAGTACCTTTATTTAAAATACAAAGATTTTTGGTAATTATATAATCATAAAGTGACTTACCTCTAGAGTTGTTATCCTTACTGCCCCAACTGAAGTTATGAGCGTTTGAGTCGCAACCTATTACCAGCTCAAACGTCTATTCCAGGCAGTATGCAATCAGATCATCCATCTCTTTACTGGGTGGTGGCGTGGTTGCATCGGAAGGAAGGTATGCAGATACCAGGATTAACATTTTCTTTTCCCTTTTGATGGCGTATTCCATCCTAACCGCAGTTAAATCGGAGGTGGAAAGGTGCACCATTGAGTGGGCTTTGTATTTCCTAGGAATATAAATGGCTGCCCTAGGTTGTTGGTTGCTAGGAAAGCTACAAATTGCTGTATGTATTTGCTTTTTGATTGCCCAATATATTTAGTTATAAAACCAAAATTTCATTTATTTACGGGACATAGATTCAATAGTTTCTGCTCTGGACAAGTGATAATACCAAAATAATAGCCATTTATAATATATAAAATATTTTACAACTTAGGGCATTTATTTTAAATGAATAGCCTCACTGATTTACTTTTTATAATCGTAGGTCTTTCTGTTTCTATTATTTGTGCTGCTTGAACCAGAGTATGGTTATTAGTTTCTGCTTTGTGTTTATTAGTTTATTGTCTTATTGATCTCAAAATATGTATATCATTCGCTCCTTGTTTTCTTTTTACTTTCCTCAATAAATTTTTAATTCTGTCAAAATAATTGTTATTGAGATTAAATATACATTAAAATAAGTTATTCTTGTGTAGAATCGATAAATAATAGCATTTGTATTTTTATTTCGTCTGTAATTATAAATAATTTATTAATTTAAATAAAACTATAAGAGTCAATTTAATTAGGTATTAAAGCAAAAAAAAATTAAGCGCTTAGATGGTTGTGGAGCCAGCGTTCTTGAGTTTCAGAGGGAAATGTCGGATGGGGAAAAGTGAAATGAAATTTTTTACTTTTTTTCTTGTTTATTTTATTTTACAAATTAGTAAAAGTCATAAATTATTTTTAAATTAATTATTTTATCTTAATAACCTAAAATAATTTTTAAGATTTGTAGATTTTCGTTAGTGGGTCGTAGAAAAATATACTGTACAACTCGAGTGGATTGTCCATATCCACTCTTGTTGTAAAACATGTACTCAATCCATTTTTTTTGTAATAAATGCGTTACTTCTAATTTATTCAATTAATTTTATTATGTGATATATGGAATGTTCATTGTTTGAAAGTTGTATAATTGAACTAGTTCCAGTTGGCAACAATCCTAAAGGAAAATTATAACATTAACAAGCTTTGTTCTTTAACCAAAAATTTGCATCTCCGGTTAATATCATTTAGTTTTTCTGAGTCATGGTTGCCAAAAATATTATAGGTACTTGTAAATAAATAATGAATGTAACAACAGGTCCTTTTCACATTTAATGTATGATTCAAACTGATTAATTAAAAATATAAACAACCATAAACGTTAATTGACCTTCAGTTCGATTTATAGGAAAATATGAAA